ATAGCTGCTTTTTTAAAACTTTTAATTAGGTTTGCAAATCTTGTATATTATTCTCTAAAAACAGTTCTATTTTTAAAAGAATTAAGTTTTTCTAATTATTTTAAAAAATTCAAAATGGTTTGCATTGTAGTTATATTCTGTTTAATAGAAATAAAAATGGTATATAAAATATTCTTTAGAGCACTAAATTAAAATTAGTTTTTTTGTTTTAAAGAACTATAAAAAATTTGAAAAAAATAAAAATTAAATCAGTTGTCTGTTAATAAACTTGAGTTAAATAATCTGCTAACATATTAAAACTGTAATTTTGTAGATATTAACAAGTATAAATTAGAGCTTGAAAATCTTCTTTTAATAGATTTTATATTGTTATATAAATTGAAAGATATAAATTATATATTTAGTATATTCAAATATAGAATATCTAACAAAAAACTAAGTTTAAAGTTTTTAAAAAATGGTATAAAGTTGGCTACAACAGAATAACAGTGTATAGAAATAATTAGCAAAATTTTTTTTGATTTGTTACAAAATTTGTAGATTAGTACTGAGATAAAATATATAATATCAATTGTATTAGTTATTTCTTTTTATAAATTTATTGTATTTAAGCATATATTACTTAAATATGCTTGTTTTTGTAATATATTAAACAATTTACAAATATAACTTTTAAGTATTATTTCCTAATATGAATTTATTTTATTTTATTTTATTTTTTGTTAAAGGTCATACTTGTAGCAATACTTTATTGACTTTATATCAGATTAGCTATTACAACTATTTTTACAGAGATGAGAGTATAGCTAGTTACACATACAAGTTTTGGTTGCCTATTTAAGTAATCCATCCTAAGGTTTTATACTAGATGCCATATCTATAACCTACTAGAAGATTATTTATTTAAACCTTCTGATCATCTATCCTGTTATATTGAAATTTTCAACTAACCTCCTGTATATACCTAACCGGTATACCATCTGAGCAGTATGGTATCTACCCTTTTTGTACTAGTTTCTAGGCCATTACACATTTCAGAGTACATTACCTGCCAGTAAGATGCAGAGGGCCTCCTGTTGTTAACTATCTATTTACTTTTAGAACACTAACACAGGCTACCCTTGCAGAGTTTATCCAAACCTTAGTACTAACTTCATAGCATATCTCAAGTACTTTTAGTATACCTTTGCTTTGAACTCAGACTCCCAATCCAGATAACCTGAAAGGACTGTGATCTGTTTTTGGTATATTAAGACCAGCTTAATATCCTTTTCCTCTGGTCTGAAATCTAGTGGCCTGGTTAGTAGTACCCCTCACTCGAGGTTTTTGCTCACCCAAATCTTTCATATTGGTATCCATTTTCTAGGTCTAGCCTTTATAGTAGTACCATCAAAGATCCGTGTTACCTCTCTGCTCAGAATTTTCAAGTGGGCTTCAGCTTCTTAGTTCTACAGATTTACACAGCCCAAGGACTTATTTTAGATTTGCTTCACATGGTACTGGTTTGCATTCTTCCGTGTAACAGGTTACACAAATGCCCCGGACCTGCCAGTCATGCTGGTGTGACTATAGTTACAGGTATTCTATTCCAACTGATCGACAGAATGCTGTTACTGTAATACTGTCTATATATTACATAGGTGATTATCTAAATTTTGCTATCAGTAGGTTTTGAACTCATAACCTACCACTTGGGGGTATGACAACTTATTCACTTCACTAAGTTGCTACACCCTTAATATGAATTTAGATATGTGTTATATTATATTTGTTACAATTAATATTACAAAATACTAATTTTAATAATTAAGTTTGTATCTTATATTCATTATCAAAATTGTTAATTTTGAACTATCTTTTTATAAACACAGATTAATGCAAGATAATAGTAAATAAAGACATTAATAATAAGAGTGTGGTGACTTAGTGAAGTGATAAGTTGTCATACCCCCAAGTGGTAGGTTGTGAGTTCAAAACCCACCAACAGCAAAATTTGAATAATCACCTATGTAATATATAGACAGTATTACAGCGACAGCATTCTGTTGATTAGTTAGGATAGGATACCTGTAACTATGGTCACACCAGCATGACTGGCAGGTTTGGGGCATCTGTGTAACCTGTTACACAGAGGAATGCAAACCGGTATCAGGCAGTGCAAACCTAAAATAAGTCCTCGGGCTGTGTAAATTCATAGAACTGGGAAGTCAGAGCCCACTTGTAAATTCTGAGCAGAGAGGTAACACAGATATTTGATGGTATTACTGTAAAGGCTAGACCTAAGAAATGGATACCAATATGAAGGATTCGGGTAAACAAGAACTTTAGATAAGGGGTACCACCAACTAGGTCACTGGATTTCAGATCAGAGGAAAAGGATATTGGGCCAGCCTCAATATATCAAGGACAGGTTACAGTCCTTCTGGGCTATCTGGATTGGAAGTCTGGATTCAAAGCAGGAGTATACTAAAAGTACTAAGAATATGCTGTAAAGTTAGTACTGGGGTCTGGGTGAACTCTGCAAGAGTAATCTGTATTAGTGTTCTAAAAGTGGATAGATAGTTAACATTGAGGGGCCTCCTGCACCTTACTGGCAGGTAATGTACTCTAAAATGTGTAATGGCCTGGGAACCAGTACAAAAAGAGTAGGTATCATACTGCTCAGACAGTATACCAGGTAAGTATATATAGGAGGTTAGTTGGGGATTTCAATATGACAGGACGGATGATCAGAGGGTTTAAATAAATAATCTCCTAGTAGATTATAGGTATGACATCTAGTATAGAACCTTAGGATGAACTACTTAAATAGGCAACCAAAAGTTGCACACATGACTAGCTGTACTCTCATCTTTGTAAAAAATAGTTGTAATAGCTAACTCAATAAAAGTCAATAAAGTATCACCACAAGTATAGCCTTAACAAAAAAAAAAAAAAAAAAAGACATTAATAATTAAATGTTTTATAGTTATTTTATATGATAAGTGTTTATGCTAATAACTAGTATCAATGTTTAAGAAGATTAGAATAATTTGCAATTATAAAAAAGACAAACTAAATATATATAAAAATATAAATTAATATATAACAGTTTACTAATAAAATCTTTAAATTATTTATATATAAAAACAAAATAACTCTTTATTAAGTATTTTACAAATAAGAGTATATTGATTTAATAATATAATATCAGAGTTATTTATTTGCATAACTAATCTTTTGTTTACTTATTAATACTAATTATATGTTGATTAACAATATAAAATAAAAAAGAAATAGAAAAGTTACTAAATAATAATATATAAATAAAAAACATAAGAGTGTAAGTAAATATTGATTCAATTTATTAGATTTGTTAATATCTAATATAAAGTTATTTGAAAATTAAGTAACTTAATATTAAGCTTATATTATGCATTTAGAAAATGCATTTAGAGAGTTTAATTATATCTTAATTTTCCTAGTTTTAGTATTAGATATTATATAATTGTTTATAATATAAAACATACAGAAGCTAACACATTATATAACAATAATATTAATAAAAAAAATAAAAAGATTAATAATTGTTATAATTTTTATATGATATATTTATAGGATATCATATTTTAGTTATATATTGGCTTAAAAATTCTAATAAAAAAACTAAATTACATTTTTATATTTTATATATGATTATGTAAATTATTATTAATATTCTTGAAAACCTCAATCCTAATAAAAATATAATGTATAAAATCTAAAAATCATTTAAGATTGATGAATATATATTTTATAAAAATAAAATTATTAATGCAATAACATATATTGCAGAATTATTAGGATCAAAAAAGGGTTAAACAATAAATATTTTTGAGTCAAAACTATTAATTAAAGAAACAAACATTTTTCAAATATTTTCTAAAACTAAAAATAATAAAATTCGAATTTAATATAATTAATTCTTCTTAAGAAACAAAAAAATTTTTCTAAGTAATTATACTCTTTATATTAAGAACTCATTATGCTCTTTATATGTTAATTTTAAAGTACTATATAAAAAAAGTTTCATTATCATAAATCATTTAATTATTTAAAATCAAAAGAATTACTAAAATTATTTTTAATTATAATTATAAAATGATAACAATATATATATCATTTAATTTAAAATATTTTTAGTATAATAGCAAAGAATTAGAAATGTACATTAGTTGTTATATTTTTAATGAACAATACTTACTTTATTATTTAATAGATAACAATTTTGATAGTTTTTTTAATTACGGATAAAAAAGAGGTTAATTGCACCTAGTATAATGTCAAGCAACTATTCTTTAACTTTTGTTAGAATAAAAAATAACCAAAAATTTTATTTATCAAAATGTAAAGGTTTGTTGTTATATTTTTTTAGATTTTAACATAATATTTTAATCTATAATTTAAGCTTAAAATACTTATATTTAATAGATAAAAAAATTATTTTTTTTAAATATTAACGGTAAAACTAATAGTTAAAAAATTAATGCCAAATTGTTAAAATATCTAGTATTATAAATTTTATAATTATTTTATTGATATTATTTATTATATTTTATATTAAACATTATTTCATAATAATTCTATATAATTGACTAATCAAAATTAAGCATATAACTATATAATAAGTTGTTTACTATTGACCATCTAAAATTAGTTACAAATATTCTAAATTTTATAATAAAAAATAAAAAATAAATTTTACTAACCCTAAATATGATTAACTGCTATATATAGAATCGTCATTTATAATTTTCCTTTTATATTTGTTATCTATTATTAATTATATTCCAATTCAAATATTTGAAAAACACTATATACAAATTCAATATTAACCAATATTTGTATAAATATATTATATCTAAACTAAAAACTTTTGTTTAAAATTTAAATTGGCTTTTTAAATAAAATTATAACAAAAGTATTATTTATAAACAGCATATCAACTTTATAATAGCAAAATTTTTGGCTTAATTATGCATTTAATCATCTTTGGTTTTTAATATAATTTTGACTCCCATACTGGCAAGCTCTGTTGCAAGATATCTAAATGCATACGGTATTTTCACAAGTGATATCCACCTAGAAGTTTCACATATATTACATTGAATATGATGCTTTTTATATGTCCTATTAGTATTTAGTTGATAATGCGTTTTAAGTGATAATGAGGTAAAAATAGAACCACATTTTCTGCATATATGACACTATTAAATAAAATCGGTATAAGTTACTTGATTAAAAATTAATATAAAAGCCTAAAAATTTTCAGTCTACCTGAGAAAAATCAGAACAATTCATTAAACGGTCTTGAAGGCAAAAACTCATTCCATGAGCCAACAATGAATCGCGTTCCATCTCACCAAATCTTATTCCGCCACTTCTTTTACGACCACCAATTGGTTGCATTGTGAGATTATGAACAGGCCCAGTCGACCTGACTTGCCATTTGTCTGATACCATGTGACGAAGGCGTTGATAATACACAACACCAATATAAATATCCGCTTGAAATTCTTCTCCAGTAATTCCGCTATACATTGGCTCATTTCCATGGTAATTATATCCTGCACGCGCAAGTTGCTCTCCAAAATAATCTATTGCAGTAAATTCTTCATTGAATCTAAATGGTGTAGAATCTTGGGCCACACCAAAAAGAGCACCACATTTTCCGGCAAGACTTTCTACAAACATCCCAATGGTCATACGTGATGGAAATGCATGCGGATTGATAATAATATCCGGTTGCATCCCGCTTTCAGTAAAAGGCATGTCAACCTGGGGCAATAATCGAGAAAGAATACCCTTCTGTCCGTGTCTGGATGAAAATTTGTCACCTATTACAGGAGGTCTCGGAATTCTTAACATTATGTGCACCTTTTGAGCTTCATATATGCCTAAGTCGTCACCGAGTAACCTAACTTGGTCCACATATGCATCCTCCGATCCTTTATATTGCTTCACAATTGTTTTGCCTCCTTGTGTGTCATCTATATATGCGCATAAGGGATCACCCATTTTTAATCGTGCACCAATAAACGGTAAACCATCATTATCAAGCTTTTCTCGCAATGAAGGTGTTGCGTCTTCGCCGAGACCAAAATGATGCTTAATACCAGATTCATAAAATTCATCAAGACTAACTATCTCAGATTTGTATATGGTACCATATTTGAACCCTCTTTCGTGAGCTGATTTATTGATAATCATTGCATCTTCCATATCGTAACCTATTGTATGTATTTGTGTGTATAATTATTAATTAATAAATTTACCTACAAAACTTTAAAGATTAACCCGTTGAGTAAATATCTACCCGAGCATTGGGTTATCGGGTAAGTTATTATATATTTCGGACAGCCGTATAACAATTTATGCCCGGGTATAATCACCGGTTCTAATATTTAAATAATAATACCAGTATATGAAATCACAGCTACAATGGCATTTGTTCCATTAGGAAATCCATCAAGACCAAGAGTACTATGAAGCACTGGTCGTACTATTGGGGTTTGACCAGTCTGAAGTCGATACAATTTATTGTCCGTTCGATGCATAATTGCTGTTGAAGGTGTACCCATCGTTTGCTTGGCCATCTTTACAAAATAAATTACTTAGAATAATCTAGTAATGCTTTTAATATACAGTCAAACCACCCTAAGTACACTCTAAAAATGTACACTTAAGCTTAGTGTTATAATCGCGCACCTTCTTTAAATGGAAACTTGTATTTAGAGATGTTTGACTGTATTTTTTCTGTTAAATTTTACCTGACACTGATACATATTACGAGGGCTTTGGTTGTAATCGGAAAATGGTGTTAAATTAGCTAGAATACTTAACATGCTTGTGGGTTCAATCTCTATGTGGGTTGTTACACCTTTGATGATATCTTTTTGCAAACACGCAATGTTCATATATACCTATTTTGCAAAAAAAAGACCAGATTCTAATTAAAATGTTTAACCCACGTTTTTCATTACGAAATATATCATATACCTGCTCAAATGATCCAACCATATCAATTTCGTTGTTGGCAAGATATCTGACAGGTCGCATCATACGCGCTTGTTCAGAAAATAAGTAAATGCCAGGATATTGACCACCATTAGAAGGTGGAACATAACCGATTTCAAGGTCAATAGAAATCTAAATAGTACAACTACAGCTTAATACATGTAATATAACTTAAGGCCATGCAAAATTAATTAATTGATTTTCATAGCCCGGCCGGGTTAAAATTCGAAAACTTATGTTTTAATAACCAGGTGGGTTTTTTTATAACATTTTTAGATATGAAATTTAAAAAAACAAAAAAAAAGCCAGCCGGGTCTGTTTAAAAATTTCATGTTATGAAAACCAAGAAATTAGGTTTGTGACCTAATTATAATCTAAAATTGATTTTTTTTTATACCTCATCTTCAAACTTTAACAATCGCAGCTTATTTACAATTGGTTGTGCATGTCCTGGTTCACACCAACCTAAAATTTTTCCATCCAACTGCACACATAAAAAACTTGTTTTAGTGTCACGGGTACCTGTTGTTAATCTGTCAATAATACCCATTTCTGCCAATATAGTTGGAATCATCTCCACGTTAGGCTTGGTAGTAATTATTCTACAAGTGTGGGAAAGATGGTTAAGCAATCCACACGGTTCACCATCCGGAGTATGTACTGGACAAATAAACCCTGCTTGGCCAATTAATTGATTCAAATGAATCAACTTTATAAAGTAATATTAAATGACTTAATATAGATTAATGGTCTATTTATACCCCACGATTCTGGTAAAAGTTTCCGTACGGTGGTTGTTTTCATTTGAGTGAAGAAAGATCCACGATGAATACATCGAAAATGTGAAATATAGCGATAAAAATTAAGTTTTTCTGCTACTATAGTATAGCCAGTAGTCTTTAAATACAAATTACAAATATATATTGTTGAGACAAATATATTGAAATTTAAAGATAAATCTTTGTCAAAAGTCTGAAGTGTACCTGCATCAAATCTAACCCACTGCTAGAAGTAAGATTTCCTGTAGCAAGGAAATATGCCAACTTTCTCCCAATTTCTATATTGGATCTATTGAATACATTAGCGACATATTTTTCTAAATAAAAGAAAAAACGAAAGTCATGCAAATATATACTTAACAGCACTAAGCGAAATAATCAAAACAATGTAATATAACACATACTATCATTGAAATCTACCGGTTTATCATTAGCAATATCTGCAGTAACTACTGCACGAATAGCATTTAAGCATTCGCCAAGTTTTTCTTTAATAAGCATCCCATAAAGATGCCCACCCAGAAGAATTTCTTGGTTTTGCGGGGAATCTGGGTTATCTGGAGAACATTCACCAGCAACAAGAGAATACAGCTTGCGAACCATGAAACTTTTTATAAGCGTGTGAAAATATAAATATCTCATCAAATATTTAAGAAAATTCCCATTATATCAATATATATATTTAACCGTATTACCTACATCAAAAGATTAAGCTTATCTCTATTATGCTTAAGATGGACCAATATCACTTTCTTTAATATATGTTCACCAGCTTGTTTGTGAGAATAGGAAGGTGAAAGAGTAAATGCGACGCGAAACTTTTCACCTAAGAAACTAACGCATCGTTCTTTTGACTGAATGCCAAATGATTTAAACTCTTGAAGCATAAGTTCCACTCGATCTGTCAAAAATGTATTAGAAAATTCTCCCTGAACCAACTGTTCAAAGATTCCTTTGTCATTTATCTCAACCAAAGCCTAAAGAGTGTTATATAATTATTAATAAGAATCGTTAAGATCCAATTTTTTAATAATTATGTTCTACCTTCATAATCAATATTACTGGAATCATGTATTCTTGTTTTCTCCATGAAAACCTAAGCATGCAATTGCCATTTTTTAAATAATGCAAAACGTTTGTCATGGTCGTCTGATCTTGTCTCGCACAACGAATAGATACACCATATTCAGTATATGATGCGCCACGACTTGCTAATGACGGTCTGATCATAGCCATGGCATAATTCCTCCGTTGTACCAATAACAAACGAATAACTTTTTCGATCCCATTAACTATGAAATAGCCACCCATTTCTTCGGATTCTTCGTGATGCTCGATCAATTGTTTGGGAAAAAGGCTTTGTAAATTACAACGATTGGACTAGATAAAATTACTTTGCAATTAATAAGAATTTATTCAATAGTTTGTTTAATAAGTATTCTATTTGTTTTTTATGTTACCTTGACCATAATGGGTGCCATTCCTACATATTTAGTTTCGAAATTCGTATTGCCATCATTTATTTTCCAACATAATTTAATATTCATTTTTCCCGCATATGTAGTTAATCTTTCGCGACACTAGGAGTTTTAAATATTTGTCAAATGCAATAAATTAGGGTGATGTTTAAAATTATATCATACCTCTGCAGGATAGATCTTCCTCATCGTTGACGCCCGAACATGTTCAGATAAAAGTGGTTTAGAAATTAAAATTTCATCTATCCAAACTTGATAAATAATGAAAAACATATTAAAGCTTGATATAGCGTACAAAAGTAAAAGAGTCCAAAGTACCTTTTAACTTGTTCCCTTGTGCAGGACTGTTATAAGGGATCCTAACATCGAATATTTCAACTGGATCAATATCGACAACTGCATAATTAAGGATTCCCTTTGTGGGCGGTTCTAATAAACTATTAAAAGAATCTATGTGTGGTTTAACAAGCTTTTGTAGTTCCGGTATGCCAAATTTTTTGTTACTTGGGTTTAGAAATAACTTCTCGCGTTCACACGTATTAAAAGTAGATGGCATGTTTTTTTTCACTTGATGAAAATATTTGATAGTTGAATGCAGATGTGTATAGTGAAAGTTTGGTTGATTATCGACAAGAATTCTGATTGGCTAAAATAAAAATTAACTATGATTCGCGCAATCTAGTTGTATATAATATAGATTTTGTGTTAAATATAAAGGTTCAAATTTTAGTTAGTAGTATCATTAAAAGTATGCGCTATTTCTTTATTTAGATCTTGTCAAGTAGTTCCCTGAATTTATATAGATATAAAGACTTATTTTAGGTTTTCACTGTCTAATACTAGATTGCATTTCTTTATAAGGGTTTAATAAAATTTTTAAAGAAATCAAAATTCATTAAGAAAATCTTCAATACGCACTACTAATTAAACTTGTTTTAATGTTTTTTGATATTTGAAAAATGTTTTATAACTTATCAGTTTTAAACTAATCAAAAGCAAGTTTAGTTACTTTGTAATAAGTTGTATTTATTTATAATTATCTTATATATAATTACAAATTCTATATAATTATTTTAAATTTTTTTAAAAAAACATTAATTTTTTTTTTTTTTTTTTTTTTTTTAGGTGACCTCTTTGGTCTTTTGACTTTTATTAATCACTTATCGGTATTGTGGT